TTGGAGTTAATTAAAGGTCAGGCCCGGCAGAAAAGATGATTTAAAAGAGCGAAAACAAACACACAACGCGAAGTTTTCTCTAAGAAAAAAATCACCAAAAGCATCAGAGACGATTTCATTCCAAACTCTTTGTCCAGGTTTGTGTGTCAAAGTCAAGCCAGGTCCTGCAGGGCTGGGTTTCCACGTCCCTCATTTATTTTTGAAGTGGTTGTTAAAGCACATCAAGGGTGTCAAACCTGGTGGTTAACAAAAATCCATTTATCTCCTCTGGGATCCACAGGCTGTTCATTTTATTTAGTTTCCGCTAATAAATAAACGACCCAAAGTCACCCAAGTGTTACCATCATCTATTTCTTGCCCCAAAATAAGGCAAACTGGCTTCCACCTCTTAAACTGCCAACAATATTTCAACAATTTTACCACCTAGAGATCAAAAAAAAAACCAGTTATGAAGTATTTTCCAGGAGAAAGGGAAGGGGCACAGATAAGTTTTTTTATCAGAGGTCCCTCTCCAAAAAGTCACTGCAAAAAGGGCTCTGATATTATTTTAGGACAGGCTGAACCCCCCCTGACAATTTTTAATTGAATTTAAATTCAATTTTTAATTGAATTCAATTTTTAATTGAATTTAAATTCAATTTTTAATTGAATTCAATTTTTAATTGAATTTAAAGCCCCACAGGGAGCTCTTCCTGGTGGTCACTCCTGGATGTGCTGGGTCTGACTGAGGGGTATGGATGGGTCTACTTTCAAAACTGTGAAAACTAAAGAATATTTGTCCATTTCTTGCCCCTTTTGCTGCACAGTTTGGCCACGTGTGCCACGGGATTTCAGCATTTTGGGCCTTTCCTGCTCCCCTCTGGGGTTCAGCTCCGGGAAAACCACGTCCCCCTGCAGTGGGAGGGGGATTGAAAGGACATAAACAAGCCCTCCTGGACCCAAAAAACAATGTTTCTTCCTCCAATTGACCACAGTGACTCCTATTCAATGCAGACCTGGGGAGAATGGAACAGGAAATTACCTAAAAGGGCGCAAGCTCAGCGCAGAGAACCCACAATTCCTCTTTAAAAAGGGGAAAAAAAAAAAGAGATCCTGTTCCTCGGGGCCAGCAGAGATGAAGAGATTACGAGCACACAGGGGGAAGTTCACCTAAAGTTCTCCTGATTTAACCCCTGCAACCCGTTTTCTCTCTTTTTCACCTGATTTTACTGACTTTACCAGGTTTATTTTTCATGCAATACTTGGTCTGGCAGGTGAAAACACCTCAGGCTTAAGAGACTCCAGCACCTCCCGACCTTCAGCCCAGCTAAAGATCCTCGTTCCTACTCGAAAAACAGAAGGGAGAGAAGGGGGAAATCATCATCTGGGAGTGTCAAACGGGAGATTTTCGTCGAGATTGAGGCGGTCGCTGATGCCCCCTCGTGGGAAATGAGAAATTCAGCTCCTGCCAAGGCCCAGCACCGGCTGTTTCCGAGCTCTGACTGACGCTGGAAGTGTCTTAGAGGGAAAAATCCCGGGGTATCTGAGGCCAGCCCCCCCTGGAAAAGGGGATTATGGAAAGGAGAGGGGGGGATTTTGCAAGGGGATCCCGTTCAGCCACAGAGCCTTGGATGGATCCAAGGGATTTGTGGATCCGAGGGACTTAAGAGGGATCCACAGGGCTCGAGAGGGATCCACGGGGCAGGGGGACCAGAGTGAAACAAAGGCAGAGAGGGAACGGGATGGATTTCCACCCCAAAGGGATGGGAAAAGGAAAAATTATTCCGACTAAAGGGCTGAACTCCCACCAGGAGGAGGTCTAAACGGGCTGTAAACAGCAAAACACTCACTCAAAAACCTGCAGCAAAGCGAGCAGCCCCTCGCAACTGGAACCACCTCTGTTTACACCAGTTGTAGGGACCTCCTTTGTCACCTCCCGCGGTAAAAAAACATCCCGGGGCAGGAAGCAGCTGCTGGGCGTGTTTGGCTGCATTTCAGCCCTTTCTCTTTACTAAATATCCACCTGCCCTCTACTGGTGGGAGACCCTAGATTTTTTTTTCCCCAAGATTTTCCCCCTCAAGGCGCCACAAAACTACCTGAGGTGGGTTTGGCACCTGATGAAGAATGAGAGTGGTGAGAACGAAGGGCGAGGTGAGAGCCACGGTGTTGGTGATGGGGTTTGTTCTCTCTGCATGAGCCTTCACCTGGTTCTGCACCGTTTCCTGGGAAAAAGTGGGATCAGGGATACATTTGCCACTCTTTCCCTGGTGTTTAGCATCCTTGAAACATCCTGGAAGCACGGAATGGTTTCAGTTGGAAGGGACCTTAAAAATCATCTCATTCCACCTCCCTGCCACGGGCAGGGACACCTTCCACCATCCCAGGTTGCTCCAAGCCCTGTCCAACCTGGCCTTGGACACTTCCAGGGATGGGGAATCCAAAGTTCTCTGGGCGACCTGCGCCGGGGCCTCCCCACCCACACGGTAAATAATTTCTCCCCACTATCTAATCTAAAGCTGCCCTTCTTCAGCTTCCAAAAAAACCTCCCAAGACCATCCCCCCAGAGATGGTCCCTCAGCCCCTTCCCTCATGGGGGGGTCCCCCGACTCCCCTCACGGGGCCCCTCCATCCTCAGACCCCCCCAGATCATCCCCCTCAGAGGGTTCCCAACCCCTTCCCTCATGGGGGGGTCCCCTGAACGCCCTCACGGAGGTGCCCCCTCCTCAGACCCCCAAGATCATCCCCTCAGAGGGTTCCCCAACCCCTTCCCTCATGGGGGGGTCCCCTGAACGCCCTCACGGAGGTGCCCCCTCCTCAGACCCCCCCAGATCATCCCCCTCAGAGGGTTCCCAACCCCTTCCCTCACGGAGGTGCCCCCTCCTCAGACCCCCAAGATCATCCCCCTCTGAAAGTCCCCCAAACTCTTCCTTCACGGAGGGAGGGGGTCCCCTGAATCCCCTCAAAGGGATTCCCCATCCTCAGATGCCCAAGATCACCCCTCTCAGACGGTTCCCCCATCCCCTTCCCTCATGGGGGTCCCCCCTCCTCAGACCCCCAAGACCA